GGGGGAGGGGGAACCGAGACAGTCTTAAAGCTAGAGGGTATAACTATATAAGAAATTAATGTTGAGAAAGAACTGACAGCAGTTCAAACAACTATATAAATATAATGCAATCTGTAAAACTGGAAATCCGCCAGAGCCAGAAAGAAACGGTATGTTATATCAATATACTCCTCTTGAATGTAGTACAGGCCAATATTAAAAGAGACATTGTTCACGCACGCGTTCCTTACAATGCATTTCATTAACCATAGCAGCACCCGCCACACAGAGCCGAAACAACACATTATGCATTCAGCTATTTTTTTTCCATCGTAGGCTTTGACTCTGCCTGACACGGCCAACTCAAGGTGAGAGGGATACACCTTCCCAGCTTAAAGACCGACACTCCATAAATTGAACTCCACGAATCAAACTCGAATCTAAGCGCCTTACCGCTACAGAATCGACGCAGGTACATTTAGCGGAAATATTATCTCTGTTAACTATTGTTTATTTTCATCTTATATATGTGACGGTAGATCTGTCTTTGAGCTGTGTGTATTTGTATGTGTATGCGGAAGACAGGGTGTGTGGAAGAGTTTGAATGAGCATATTATGTGTGTATGTGTGTGGTGGAACACCACACCAATGTGCCATGAGTGTCTGGATAACAAAGATAAGCCCTATCTGATCTTCTAATCTCCTTGACAAGCACTCATATTTTATTTCCTACGCATACGATCATATGCACAATATACCTTTAATTTTTGTTTACTTTGTGTAAAGGGAAGCCTATCGACACAATGTAGGTCATGAAGGGTAAAAAAAAAATATATGGAAGTTGGACCTACCGGAGGCTCCCTCCAACCAACCGTATTTTCATGAACGTCAAGCATTCTGCCAACAAAGCTGCCAAGCGAATTCCACTTTTTAGGCTATTATTTAGTAAACGCTCTTGTATCTGATGTTCTTTACTGCAAATGAGCGTAGATGAAGATGATATTTATAGTTGCAGTAGAGTTTCTAAATGATCGGTGATGTATGTGTGTGTGTGTGTGTGTGTGTGTGTGTGTGCGTGTGTGTGTGTGTGTGTGTGTGTGTGTGTATGTGAGTGTGTGCGTGTGCGTGTGCGTGTGTGAGTGTGTGCAAGTGTGTGTGTGTGTGTGTGTGTGTGCAAACTCCGTGTCCAGGACATCTCACAGGACTCCTCGACAAGCTGTTCAACTGCTCTAAGCCCAGATACCCATGTATTTTTTCACGAGAGAGAGAGAGAGAGAGAGAGAGAGAGAGAGAGAGAGAGAGAGAGAGAGAACGGCTTTATCCTTTGAAATTGTACCTTACTTTATGTATCTTTTCTTGCTTTTAAACATTTTTAGGATCTGACTTCGACAAACTATCCCTCAAGCACATGCAACCGACACAACAAATTAAGAAACTGCTATACAACATTTTTCTTTAAATTTCAAAAGTTGGCCAGTCGTTTTGGCGGTGAGTAGTGGACAATGATGACATTGGAAATCAAAGAATTCCACCGCACCAACACGACACAATTATTATTTATGTCGTGCTTCTCTTATTTTCGTTGTCCAGGACCAACCGACAAAAGTTTGGTCTCCTGTTTTGTTCTCATGGGGAACTAGATCTAGACTTAATCGTTGGCTACCAGGTTTCTCAATCAAAGTGCAGTACTAGGCTATACATGTACTTACACTGTGGAACACATCGTTGCTTACGAATGACTTTTTGTTTGTACCTAATCAAAACCCGGAACTGAAGTTTGAATCTCAGTGAAGTCCAAAAATGTGTCTTTTTTTAAACTTCCTGAATTTTTCTTTCTCAACCGTCGTCCTCAGAGGGACCAACAGTTCCACCCTCAGAATGACGAGTACATCGTTTCTAGTAAGGCGTTAACTTGAGCAGGAATCACAAAGCGAGTAGATCTAGTTACGTTGAGCGATGTTTCAACTTTCGGCTCACACCAAAGAGGTTATAAGCTCACACGAAAATGTCTCATTCAGCCATAGCGCAAAACAGTGCGTCTGGGGACGCTGGAGGGGAACAATGAATTTCTCTTTGATTTACACTGAACATGGCGGAAACAACTATTAAATCGCACTGCTGAAAAGGTCTAAAAGTTAGTGTTTCGATGCATAGATGTAAGACTTTCACAGGCAAAAACTGAGTGAAATTTTCCAATATCTTAGACGAGGGGGACAGGACACACAGAAAGTGAAAGAAATAGTTTAAAAACCCACAGAAACAAGAAAAGAAAGTTGATAAAAGAAAGGAACAAATAAAAGAATAAACTACCCACCCCCCTTTAAAAAAAAAGTGAACCCACATTAGCTCTCGCGGCCAGGAGTACCAGATAATTCGAACATCAACGGTACGACTTACAGACTTGTTGGAAGAGGACATATTGATTTCTCAGTAGTCTTTGGTTTGTTTAGTTTTATTAAGAGCTTTATATCTCTTGCAGTTACTAGAAAGTGTTATACAAAAAGAGAAGGAGGAGAGTTAAAGAAAGGAGGAGCAAACCACACAAAAGCACAGGCCTCCCATCCACACAGTCTTAAGATGACAGAAAGAATACTGCAAAAAGACACAAGTCAACAAGCATCTCTTGAATTTTTTCTTTTTTTAAATTTCGTCTCGGATTCCTAATCTTCGCTTTAAAACCTTTCTGTTGGCAAAAAATGAAACAATGCAGCTAAAAATTGAAATGGAGATAGTTACAACTTCCCTAAGCAAGGTTAATGCGAGTATATAGATCCAGTCTGAGGAGGAAAGCACAATGAGCTATTGAATACTCTCACTAAATAGGCCTAGGTATTGATCAAGTTCCACGTGCTTTCAAGACAACCTATGTTATAAAAGATCAGCAATGATATTGGTGTTTAGTAGATGCAGTTTTTTTTGCCCTCCCCTCTCCCCCTCCATTCTCAACACAAAAAAGTCCTCAAAGCTGAAAAAAAAAAATCGTAAGCATAAACAATAAAATTATAAACGATTCCCCTTTTCTCCCTTGATAAACTTTATAAATCAAATAATAACAACACTGATAGAGTTAAACCGAACAAACGACAAAGACAACATAACACTCCTCCCTCCTCCACCCATGTACCATAACATAATAATAATATATAATAATAGATTACTTGTTAATGTCTGACGATGACCAATGCAACCGAACAGGAGGATGTTTCTCTCAGAGAAATAGAAGAAATAAGGATCAAAATGATTTGCGGCTTCTACAGTAAATGAAAAAAATTCTAGAGGAAAAAGCTCATAATGAGGCAAATGGTATGTTGTTCACAAATTTGTTACAGAAGCAAAGAGTGTCAATAACCGTCTGCCATATATAACAATTAAGAAGCAATTCGTACAAAGTCTGGTAAAAAAAACCAACCTCAACGTAAAGTTAAATGTACCTAAGACAAGTCGGTTTGTTCTGCGTTTATATTATGTTGATTGTAAATAGTTTTTAAATGTTATTATCCATCTTTGACCTGATTTAGATTACTGAGGAGACACGCAGCTTCCAGCCTGTCTGTCAGGCCCAAACTGAGCTGAGTGGGAAAAATGAATCCAGGCAGAAAAACGAAGTACTCGATAAAGTAAACTGCATTGCAATGCGAGAACCGAAATTATCTTTTGTGTACAACAGTAAAGAGCGCATAGTAAAAAAAAACAGCAACTAATGTCAAATGTGTGTTTCTTTCATACCATCAAATAAAAGCAAAGAAACATATATAAAAACTCCTTCGCCATCTTTTACGAGTCGCGTCTTCGCCAGGAAAGAGAGCCCACAATGGGGGTGAATATAAATTATTATAAAGCTTGGACGTGAAAACTTTTCATTTCTCAACACTCAACACCGGTAAAAAAAATTTCCGGCGTTTGTGGTGTTCACTGTTTCACTGTGGCACATAGAAGACCCAAGTTCGATTTCCATGAAGGGAGAACTTTTATCGAGTATCTCGGGTTGGTCCTGACAGGCGGTGTCTCTTCTTCTTTGCGTTCCCCTGCTAGATCTCAGGGGTAGTCAGTCAACTACCGGTTCTTCAACCTGCAGTGCAAACAGGTTTTACGTGTGTGACCGTTTTTCCTATCTCGAGGGGACCTTTGCCTTCTAGCAGCTAAATTCTGATCTCAAAGATACTCTGAATACTATTTTTATACTGACTAGAGTATTTTCAGATTTGGTAGGAATTAATTTTTGATTTTTGCCGGGATAGCGGCCAAAGCCCTACATTGATCCGTTTTACAACCACCAAGGGACTTTTAAATGGGACCTCTGAGATTTTTCACCGTTATCCGAGAAGGCCATCTTACCTATCCTAAGGTCAGGGGTGCTGGTGAACTGAAAAACAACAGTAAGAAGGAGCCAGGAGTAGCAGTACACAGATCAGGCGTAACGGAGAGAGGATCCCAAAGGAGGCCGGGATGGGGTGGGGATAAAAAGTCGTTGACAGAACAGGACTAGAAAACAGGAAATTGGGTGAAAAGAGAACGTTTTAGAGAAGAATGGTTTTTTGTCGCCATCAGGTTTCGATTCTGAGGCCATTTGAATGAGACGCTAACACAATACCCCTAGATTACGAGACCTTTATAAACAGGGTCTGAGTCCGTCTCCTACATGATCTAAATTGTGTCGATGAAGCCAACGGTTCTCCTCGCTTCATTAACGATGGGAATGAATGACTCAGCCATCTTCTTCCTGCAGCGTTAAAAAGACAACAAATTCCGCATCTGGCCAAGGCATATGTCTTACGAGGCATATTTAAAAGTTTACCAGATGACGCGACACGATGAATGGTCTTCTCGCATATTTCTTTTCCCCTTTATCTGTATCTCTTCATCTCCATCCCCCCCCCCCCAATCCCCCTTTTGTTTTCTTCTTCTCAACTTCTTCAAATTCTCAATAGCAGAGAAATCACACACAAGTTCTGGCAAAAGCCGATCTCATTTCAGTCACAATACGAAGCGTCACGTTCCCAATAAATCTGACCATTTAAATCATTGGAGTGTACAACATTACGCATACGCTTTTACATCAACCACAGAAGATGTAAATAATCGAAAAATGCGTTTCACCAAGCGCATAAATTCCCTATCGCGTGGAAAAGCCACGAGAAATCTCCACATCTAAGACCCTCTTGGCATAGGTAATCTTAGAATGGGTCCAACAGCCAGCTCGTCTCATCCTAACGTTACACGCAAAACAATTAAATGACAAGTGGAGGCACCCAAAGCCTTGCCGCCTATTCTTACTCAGCTCAGATTTTCCGCGCGTCTTCAGGTAAGCTACAAGTTGGAATGTCACCAGGTAACATTAGGGACATGGCAGGTAACATTAGGACATCCGACACTAGCCTCATCATCCGTTTGTCATTATTCCGCTATTTACATCAGCTGATGTTTTAAATTAAGCGCCCGTTCTCGTGACAATTAAAAACACGCTAATCTTGTATAACAACCCCC